TCTGACAATATTTTAGATTTTCCTGCTTTTGGTGCTTTTGACATGTAAACAATTAAGTACTTGAAGTGTAAGTGTATTATCAATTTTTATAGGGTTTATAGCAGTCAGGGAAAACAGGAATTCAGAGGCGGCCCACTGAGAATTTTAGGTTATCACTGGTATAATCCACTCTTTCAATGTGATATAAATACTCATAGGTCTCTCTACGTGTTAATAAGTCCTTTGCCATCGGGGTAAGTATTGGATCAGTGTTTCATTGTAGTTGCTTCTACTACCTCATAACTATGCAATAATACATTCTGAAGGCGGCGCCGGGAGACAGCCTAGGAGGAAATATATCCCCCTATCTCACGAGAAGTTAATGTCAGGCAACTTTTTTTTTTTTTTCGATGACCGCTCTAGCAGCACAGGCCGACCTGCAGGGTTCGCATTATCGTTGTTTTACCTGCCTGGATGCAACAGTGCCAGGAATAGTTTCTATAGTTTCCCCAAAATAATCATAAACACACATGATGACTTACATAAAGGGAATGGCGATCTCTGAATACTTTGCAGATAATACTACCCTCTGGGCAAAAACTGGTTGAATCAACGTTGTTTCCACGTCATTTCAACCCCAAAAACTCAAAGTGGAAAACTGATTCGATTCGCAAAAAGTCACCCAACTTTTAACCTAAATCCAATGACATGGTGACATGTTTTGCTGATTTCACTTTAGTAAGACAACTCAACCAAATGTAGATCAAAACTATACGTTGAACTGACTTCTGTGTCCAGTGGGTAATTACTGGTTATTGGACTTTTTCAATTATGCGTTTAACCGTTATACGCGTGCGCTCTTGCACGCATTCAGGCGCGCGCACACACACACAAACACACACACACTTACTCTCAGAGGGGTAGGGGGGTTGCATGTCGATTTTGTGAACCTCCTTTGCATAGTACTCCTCCTCGCTTCGTTGGCGCTCACACGTCGCCGCCCGTTCGTTGGCTTTCTCCTGCAACAGGTCCCTCGTGCTGTTATAGATGGCGATGATATCCCGGGACACCTCCTCGGGCTCTGGGTATGTCTCCGGGGGGCTCGTGAGCTTCAGCTTGCTCAGTATCTGTCCCCGGATGGCTTCTATGCGCTTTTTCATAAACTGATCCATGTCCAGCGTACTGCATGTAGACAAACTGACGGCCACAGTGGCTAAATCCAAGGTCAGGAGAAGACTTAAAACGCAGTAGTTCATTGTGAACTCTAAAAGTAGACTACAGCAGCGTCTTGAAATCTTGACAAAAAAATATAAACCGGCCTTGGAACGGGAATTTAAATAACGGAAACGGAATATATAAAAAAAAAAGTTTAAAAACGCCAAAATATAGGATTTTTTTGGGACAACTATATATAGGCCTATACACGTAACTACTTGTAGCCTAAATATTGGGAAACGTGGTAGTTTTGTGATCCCAGTTTCAGCACAGTATTTCAAATTGTACCTGGAAATCCATTCAACAACCATGAGGGTGAAATAATCTGTAAAATCCGTTATATGGGCAGCGGAGAGCAGACAGCAGCAGTAGGCTATGTATGATATTACCAATCACTTCCCAATAAACGCATAATAAACGCGCGTAAAGTTACAATTGTCCAAACGAAAAAGACCGAATTGTGGCCATTAAATGCCAATCAAAGTTTAATACAAAAATCTTGAAGCAAAACAAACTACAACCAGCTAGCTCGCTATCTCCAGTTGTACAGAACAGACGTAGCCTGTGGGTTAGCGCACACCTCCACCGCATCAGAGCGCTGCGAGCTCTCCAACTGTGGCCAGTACCACGCTCAGCACAAGTCCGTCTTTGATTTCTCTATCTCAAAATCAACGTGGGCTTCGCTGAGCAGTTGCATCGCCGTTCTTGACAGAAGAACATACCACAGTAAAAACAACTACCCGTCCTGGTACTCGCAAGGTGTCGTCTCGAGGATATATAACCTATTAAAGTTGTAATAACGCATGTGTTGGGTCAATATAAATGGAGAAAATACGGCATTTAAAAAATCAAAAGTATGGCAAGTACGTTGAAGTATAAAGATAATCGGTATTTCCTTTTAATACAATGGTAGACCGTTGACGCGTTCCTCCATCCCTTCTTGCTGAAAATCGGTCCACAGAACTGGTGTTGCCAGTGGCACAACAGCATGCGGCTGGTTGAAGAGGGAGATTTATAAGACTTACTTAACCACGTGCTCCCCCTCCTTCAAATTGATGTTGTCGGTGTCACTTTCAGACTGGGGGACTCCTTCAACTTCAGGTTACGAGACGATTTATTGTAATGAGTGTTTAGTGTGCCCATCCGGACAGTGCAGCGGGTAATGTCCCTGCGCTCAACCACGGGGTCCTAACGCCAGATGTATAATTTGACGTCCACTAGCTCAATAACCATATCCACAAGTCCGGTGTAAAATGTACGCTTCTTTTGGTACCGCATTACGCAATGGATATAGTAGACCAGAAATATTTAAGATTCGAGTTGGGATGGTTCTAAAGAAACATCTTGCAGACGAAAACTCCGAAATTACAAGAACATAAAATTGAGCTTCCTGAGAAATTATATGAACTGGATAAATAAGTTATATAGGATGATTTGATTTGTGGGCTCTGAGTAAGCCTTTTCTTTTCTCAATCCCCCTCAATAACATGACAGAAGTTGGCAAGAATACTGCTTCCCAGAGGTTTGAATAACTTAAATAGAACCAACATCACTACTACAAGTGAAGGTGTTCTTTTATATGCCCATTATTTTTTAAACCTTTTATCCAGCTCTTAAATGGGGGGTGTTTAGAATGGTTCACCCCTGGGTCTTTGTTAGGGAGTGGTACACTACAGCTCTCTTGTCATCCCTGCACCTGTCTTAGGGGGACTGTACCATGTCAGCCATGAGAGTCTATGGACATTACCGCATCCACTCTATTTTTCTATTTTCCTGTATTCTCATAATGTGCCAGGTTGGTTGATTTACATTTACACTCCCAAGAAAATCCCACTGTTTTCATCCTTTGCCAAGGCTTTTTTCCTCTGCTAAAACCTCCCTCTCTCACCCTGCCCCCCACACCTCCACCCAAACCAAAGCCTGCAATTCATCAGCTGTGACAGGCTCTCAGAAACTCTCTCAAGAGCCCGGCCTTACTGGTGTAAACCAGATGTTGTCACTAAATCAGTACCCACACAGACATCTGAGGCCAACAAGAGGTGTGAGTGTGTGTGTGTGAGGTGCATGGGGAGTAGAGGTAGATATCTCACACAGGGAGGGCAGTTCCTGCATGTCCTCTCCAACACCTGCTCACTGTGTTGAACACACCATGACCTCAGTCAGTGTATACAATACAGTAACACAGACAGAACAACATTATTACTTTAAGGCCTCTAAACATATGTAGTGAGTGACCCTGTCATATTTAATCCCCTTCTGCACCTGAAGATACCCCTATATCATTCCTTTACACCCAGTGAACCTGTATTAGTAACCCCATCTCTACAATCCCTGTACACCGGCTCAGGAAAACCCTTGACCTCTCCAGGGTTGTGTTCATTTGGGCACACTGACAAAACAGCTGAAAACAAAAAGTCTTATTGGGCAAATTCAGGTAGTACCTCCCTGATTACCTAAATTGTCTTCTATTCTGTGCCTAATGAACATGGCTCAAGTTAGAGCCGCAAAAGGACAGCTGGACCTAATAGAGAGGGACAGAGGACAGAGGGGGAAATACCGTATAGACTGACGAGGATGAGATGACATAGCAGGCTGGTTCTCTAGCAGTGTGTCAACAGGGCCGGGAGAGGCCTGGCATTCCACAGTGGCAGGTCCCAGTGTTGCCATGATGAATGAGCGTTCTATGCGGTGGAGACAGGTCAGCTGAGACGTAGCGGCATTCTCCTTGCGGCGATAAGGGCGCTCTGCAAATATTTCCACTACTTGTGTGTGGCAAGGGTCAGACAGGAAGAGAGGGAGTAAAAAAAAGAAGAGAAAGGTAGAGAAAGAGAAAAGAGGAGTCAGCAGAACTGTCACTGGGCAGTCGCCACATTAACTTGGCGCTCAGGGTCACTCCGAGGCGAGAGCCATCACCTTGGCAACCGTCCAGTAGACACACGCAGGCAAGCAGTGTGTAAAACTGGGTGGGCGTCACAAAATGAGAGGTTTATGTAGTGGGACAGCATCTCAATGTCACCAGCTGTTCTGTGCTCTCTGGCACACACACATTTCCTCTCCGAGGGGTCATCAGCAGCGCATCTCACATTCTCTGACAGACAGGGAGCATGTCTACTATGTATTTTCTGTGTTCATATGATCACTACAACCATACCACATAAAATATATATACAGTATATATAATTGATTAAATAAACTAGACAATGAGCGTACAAAACATTAAGAACACCTTCCTAATATTGAGTTGCACCCCCCCCCCCCCCCCCTTGACCTCAAAACAGCTCAAAACAGCATCCTCATGGTCCCGAAAGCATTCCACAAGGATGCGGGCCCATGTTGACTCCAATACTTCCCACAGTTGTGTCAAATTGGCTGGATGTCCTTTGAGTGGTGGACCAATTCTTGATACACACAGGAAACTGTTGAGTGTGAAAAACACAGCAGCGTTGCAGTTCTAAAAAAAAATGTGTCTTGCCCATTCACCCCCTGAATGGCACACACACAATCCATGTCTCAATTGTCTCAAGGCTTTAAAATCCTTCTTTAACCTGTCTCCTCCCCTTCATCTACACTGATTGAAGTGCAATTAACAAGTGACATCAATAAGGGATCATAGCTTTTACCTGGTCAGCCTGTCACGGAAATAGCAGGTGTTCATAATGTTTTGTACACAGTGTATACACACATTGATAGTCTTTAGTTAAACTAGTGCTATAACTAGTACTACAACTAAACTAGTATTCAGTGATAGGCTACATTAGCCCTCAGTTCACCTAAAAACAAGTAAACAAAACTGAAAAGGGAAAACGTTTATCAACTGGCTTTTTATTGAGGGACATGCTGCAACTGTTAGGAAAAAAAGGTCTATATACAACAGAGTTCAGATGGAAAAATGTTCATGGACAAATGGACATTGACAAGCCAGAGAGCACCAGCATTACACAAACTAGGTATCCTGACCCAAAGCATTGTGGAACAGGACTTTGACCCCAGTCTTTCTTCAGCTCCTGGTTCCATATAGAAAAGTCAAAGAGGGGTCTTTGGGCCTGGTAGGACTGCCTCTGGGGGAAGAGGAGAGGGAGGCTGGGTTGAGCTGATCTCAGCGATGCAGGACCCTTCAGCTCCATTCCTCAGCTCCATTCCTCACAGTGGACACAAAGGCACGGTCTTGTGCACACACACACTCCTGGGTGTGCTCAGTCATACACACACTTACAGAGATGGGCCTGTCTGTTCAGTCCGACTCGCTGTTGTAGTCCTCCGCACCCCCTGGTGCCTCCTGCTCGCCCCCCTCCTCGTCGCTCTCCTTGTCCCAGTCCTTCATGGAGGCTCCCATCATAAAGTCGTCTCTCAGCACGCTCCAGGCTGGCTTCTCTTCTACCTCCCTGCCAGTCTATACAAAGATGGTACTTATTACCCATACATGAGCCATTTCTTATATCAAATCTATTTCTGCTTCAGGTGTATGATCAAACACAGGAATAGACCACCACTATAACTCCCAATTTCTCAGTCTCATCATAACAAGTCTCCTAGAATGTTTCACAACATCCCAAAGTCAACGGTGCCACCATGTGGACATCAAGGGAAACTACACTTATGACAACAGGACACTCCAGATAATATTTATTCAATTATTTTCAATTAAATAAGCTGTTTTAATGGCAATTATTACAGACCTGCCCTATACATTATGCAGTTTATTAATGTTCAAATTCCATGTCTGTCACCAGAAAAAGATCCTGAGTTTGGGCTTGGGAAAAATGTCCTAGACGCATCAGATGGTAGTTTGGGGATTGGCATCAATCCCTTAAATCCCCAGTGCCAGCCCAGCTATAACCCTGACCCTCTAACCCTGAAGCTCTGAGGCCCTGTTAGTATTTGAACATGTATGTCAACAGACTGTCCCTATGGTGCTGCTGTTAGTATGAGAGCAGCAATTTTCTCATATATATTCATACAGACATTGTGAGAAGGCCGAAACGGGGAACATAGGCCAAAGCGGCGCCATCTTCACATTCCCAATCAACACAGTGGATCTCTGCACCATAACTACCACCATATCACAAACTACTTCAGTCCAGTACCCTCTTGCTTGAGAATCAGTCTCTTAGATAAAAAAAAAAACACTACTTATCACATGCTATATCCAAGCTAACATACTTTTCTTTTAATTTATTCCTTATTTTACCAGGTGAGTTGGGTTGCAAAGAGGGCTGACCCCATTTAGTCAACTAGTCGATTGTTTGGTCGACCGAGATTTCTTTAGTTGTCTTGTACACCAATCATGGTGTACAAGACACCTTTGGACTGATCCATTGTGGAGGCCATGGGGATGGCACAGTCCATGGAGCAACACAAATAAAAAATATTATTATTTAATAACAAATGTGCTTTCTCCCGCTGTCCGCAGTTCTAAAACACATCAGTGTGCTGTTGAATTGGCACCTTTTCCTAGACCATGTTGCTATGTGAATAACAGCAAAGTTAACCAGTATATTGGTGTTGAGAACAATGCGGCGGAGGCAGCAGCGGACTTAAGAGACGAGAAAACAGCCCTTGCCTTAATTGTCTAAGAAAAGTGAGGAGAGCGGAAATCCCAACTTAATTAGGTCTATAATCAATAGCCTAACTGTTCAAATGTGCCTAGCTTTATAAATCATCCATATCTACAGAAATAAGACAGATCCTGCTTCTGTTGCCTGTTTGAGTGTTTGTTTAATAGCCTACTGATTCCTCACGCAACCACATGTCAGATAAACAATTTTGAAGAAAATTCTAAAAACATGTTTTCGCTTCTTCATTATGGGGTATTGCATGTAGATTGATGAGGGGAAAAATTATTTAATCAATTTTAGAAGACTGTAACCTAACAAAATGTAGGAAAAGGGAAGGGGTCTGAATACTTTCCGAATGCAATAGGCTACTGTATCAATCAATCATTTATTCGTTAATGTCATCACATAGCATACGAGTCATTCATGATTTGAAATGCAATCAAGCATTTTAGTTTTAAAATAAAATAGCAAAGCGACCATTGAATAATTAGCATAAATAATAAATAGGCCTAAACCATTCAATTTCGGAAATTGCATTAACAAATTAATGAGACTTTAGTCTTTGCTGTAATAATGCATTTACAAAAAAAGAAAACGTTACAACACTCTCTGGTACACTTATAATTTCTTTAGTGTTGTTTACATTGTTCCAAACGGCCAGAAAAATTATATTGTAATCTAACAGCACCTGTTTGGCACACATAATATGCACGCAGCGCTTGCTCCTTACCTTCTTTAGCTTGATCTCCAGTATTTTCCACAACTAGTAAAAAATAAAATGCACATCGGACTTCCCCTTTACCTCCTGAGCAATCAGTAAACATTCCCCCATTTCGAGTTTGTCACGTCCTCTGCATCTATTTTGCTGTCACGTGTTACGGTGTTCAGAGTTTGTTATAACCAAGTTATTGATGTGACTATGATATGCTATAGGTCAGGCCCTATTGGTCAAGTGCATGCGATGCATACAAGTGTCACGTAAAGAGAGCAAGGGTTGAGGGAATAGGGAATGTTTTTCCTAAACAAATTAGGGATTTCAGTAAGATCACTTTTCAGTCAGAAATGGCTGTAATTAGGTTGCAGCTTCAGCAACACGGACAGCGCGATACACACTGTTGATGTTCTGTGGTGGTCGCTGCAGCAGGGAGGAGAGAGAGACAACGGGTGCTAGTCACACAGTTACTCGCTGTATATATATTTTTTTTAACACAGTCCAGCAAGTCTGACCCAGGCCCAGCAATCAAATCAATTGCGGACGGACTCACTAGTCATGTGTGTCTTAATTATTTAATAAAACATGTTCGCTTAAAGCATCAGACAAGCTCAGTGCATATTGTTGATTTGATTCAAACAAATAGGATGTGTCTATACTGTATACGGAAAAATACAAGCTTAAAAATGTGGACCAAGTGATTGTTCGAAAGAACAGACGACTCTTCGTCGGCCTAGATTTTGTTGTTGTTGGGGACAGCCCTAGTTGCAATACAATGAATGGCAACAGAAAGGTCACTTTAATGCTTATCTAGCATGGACCCCTGACCAGTGGCGGCTCCTGAAAAAATTCTCAGGGGGGGCAATTTTTCTGATGATTTAGGTGACCTACACACATTTTAAAAAAGATATGTCCAGCAACAACATGAAGACAGGGGCAGCATATAAGTCAATACCAGAAGCATTTATTGACTGATCTCAAAAGTGTTGGCTTACCAGGGTTGGTGGAGCCCTCAGTTTCATCTTTGCCTCGCAAAGCTAACTCAAACACTCCGCAAAACTTGTCCACCAGTATCTGTCTTTTTATCTCACGTTGTACATCTCTTAAAGCCTGTCTATCACCCCCAGCATAAACTGCCTTCTTCCTATCAAGTAGTGATTTTAGATGTTTTGATACCCAAGGCTTGTTGTTAGGGAAGATTTTACAGGTCTTAGTAGGCACAACTGACTCAACACAGAAGTTTACATAGTCTGAAATAACCTCTGTGAGTTCATCCAGATCAGAGCTGCTGTCCTCAAATACCTCCCACATTGTACAGTCAAAACACCCCAAGTGATACTGTTGTCATTCCAGATCTGGACAGTTTTAACTGTGGGTTTCTCCCTCTCCAGGAGGCGACAGTAAATTGGCCTGAGGTAGACCACATTGTGGTCTGATGTCCCCAGAGGAGGTCTGGTGGTGGCAGAGAACGCCTTTGGTATTGTCCCATAGCACAAATCAAGAGTCCTATTTTTCCTAGTGTGACATTTCACATACTGATGGTATGTGCGCAAGACTTTGTGCAAGGTACAGTTGTTAAAATCCCCTAAAATAAATTTGGGTGCGTCGGGGGAGATGGATTCCAGTTTCTGTGACAGATTATAAATAATCTCTGATGCCTTTGTTATATTAGCTTTTGGTTGAATGTACACAACGGTAACAAACAATTGGGGGAACTCACGGGGCAGATAGTAAGGTCGCAGTGACACAGAAAGCAGTTCAATGTCGGGGGTACAGAGTCGCTCTCTTACCAGGATCGATTTACACCACTGGTCGCTGACAAGCAGGCAGACGCCCCCGCCGTGAAGTTTCCCTGTGACTGTCAGATCGCGGTCCGCTCTGACCAGGGTGAAGCCGGCCGGCTCCACTTCTCTGTCCGGGACTCTGTCATCCAGCCAAGTCTCAGTAAATGCCAGCAAACAGGCCTCCCGATATTCGTGTTGGAAGCGCAGATTCGCTGACAACTCATCCGCTTTCCCCCTCAGTGACTGGGCATTAATCAGCAAGGTGGTGGGTAAGGGAAGTTTGTTCTTAATTTTTTTTAAAGTCGTTGTCTGATTCCCCCGCGTTTTCCACGTTTGCATTTGGGTTTGTAATCCACTCGCAGACAATCAGGTATTAGATGGGCCATTGGGATATCCATCGCGTTCGTATTTGAGTTGCATTGTAGTAAAAACTCCCTGCTGTATTGGATTCCGCTGCCAGCAGCGTTTTCATTATTTAGTCCGTTCGTAGCGGGTATGTACACGATCAACAAGATCAGTCCAACACCGTGACCCCACCACTGGAAATCCATGGTTGGCAGAATGTTTGTAAACTAAGTGTACAAATTAAAAACATAAAATAACGCCACTAAGTGTACAAATTAAAAACATAAGATTAAAAACATAAGATAACGCCACACCAAACGTCACACACACTGCAGGTCGCAACAGAGACGCTGCTACCCGCTCTTTTCTTAGTTACGTTCATGGTTATGTTACGTATGACGAAAGCGCGTAAGTGCAAGCCCTCAGAAACCCATAGAGATTGTATTGAAAGCTCTGAAATTTGAAAAAAATAGATTTTACATGGGAGTCTATGACAGACTTCTGGGCGATTTTCAACCTGACTGAAATCGCCCCAAAAGGGGGGGGGGGCCATTTGAAGCACGACTTTAGCCTGATTGGACATTTAGTGGCAGTGTGGCACTGTGGCAGATCAGACGTCTAGATTACAACACTGATAACTACTGTTGCCGTGATATAATTGATTAGAAAAAAAATCCCTTCCTTTTCCCGTTTGGCAGTGCGTCGCCCATATCGCCCTATTGAACACACCGCCCCTGCCCCTGACCAATAGTTGATTAAGAACAAAACACAGTCCCGAAGACAGGTGTTTAAGCAAAAAATATTCCCATGACTGAAACTTAAGTCGATCTCAGCTAGATTGTCTGCGGGGCCAAGTTAACTTCCCCTTTCATGTAAAAACAAGTCATGACCATCATGCTTTTAGGGAAAGAGGATCATTTTGTATATGTACTAAACTACGAGTTTTATCAATTCCAGTCACCTTGCTTAGGGGGTCCAGGGTCCTCCCTGGGATAATTTTTATGCAGGACTGAGAAGTCTGGTGACTTTTTAAAAGGACATTCCACCCAAAACAATTTAAAATAAAATGATGCTGACCACATCTAAAATACAATTTCCACCTCCATAAATGAGCCCAATAACATACTAGTAAAAATGATTTTAACATATTGGACCATGCATATAACCTATGCATGGTTATATATCGGGGTATTCAACTCTTACCCTATGAGGTCCAGAGACTGCTGTTTTTCTGTTCTACCTGATAATTAATTGCACACACCTGGTGTCCCAGGTCTAAAGCAGTCCTTGACTAGAGAGGAACAATGAAAAAAAGCAGTGGAACTGGCTTCGAGGTCCCGAGTTGAATATGAGAGGTCTATATTATCAGATGTGCTATTAGCAATAAGCATTATCACCTGTAGCCCAACTGATGCAGCATAGTGGCTATAAATGGGCTGAAGCATAGGGTTTGTCCATCTGCATTTACCCCATTGGACACAACATCCTGATTGTTATTATTATCAATAAGAATTATGTAAAATTATAAATCACTTGAAAAAACATTTCTGGCTTACAAAAGCATAGGGTTTGTCCATCTGCATTTACCCCATTGGACACAACATCCTGATTGTTATTATTATCAATAAGAATTATGTAAAATTATAAAATCACTTGAAAAAACATTTCTGGCTTACAAAAGTGTTTTTCACACAATTGCATTAAGAATTGTTGTGCATTGACTGTTTCAGTCAATTAGCATTTTGAAACTATTTAACCATCAAAGTAATTGTTTAAAACCTGGATGTTTTTTGTCATTTTATGAGGCATGTCTTAACTAGCCAAAATCCGACCCCAAAAAATGAGGTAATTATATAAACATCTCCTCATATGCCACTGGAAAAAGCATTTATCTCATGTTCTATTGGTTTTCAAATCAACTTTCTTTCATTGTCAAGTAGCCAAAGGCACAATTATAGTCATATTAGCAACCCATGCTAGTTATTGCATGTTTTGATCTCCCCGCTTTCTAAATCACTAACAGATATTTTCATCTCATTTTAGGGGGTACATCGCCATCACATGAAACCGCTCTCATGTGCGTTATGTTTTGAGAACGTTTTTTCCTGCTAATTTCATATTGGAACATTCGCGCGTGGCCTACTGCCGTATGCGCATTGCTTTTAAATCAATTATGTGCAGTGGTTGTATGAATTTGGGATCTATCGTCCCACAACTGTCCCAGAGTCTGTTTCAAATGTTTATTTCTCGCACAGAACGACAAGCTAACCAATAGATTTATTACTATGGGGGATAGAAAATTGACATAGGCTAGTGATTTTGCTGTTCGTTTACTTGTCTTGTTGGCTGAGGAAAAGTAAATGTGGACAGTTCTTCTAACATCTTCAAAGTGCGCATCAGAATTCGATAAGAAGGACGCACGCCGTTGCATCCCCAATGTGTCTGTCTTCACTTCTAGGCTACTTCGGACCTGCTAGGCCTGTGAGAAGGATCCGATCACATGACTGGCATTATCTAATAAGAATTGAGATATCTGAGAGAGTCATATGAGTGAGTGGTGCTTTGGTGCACAGCGATTGGCATCTGGGAGAATGGAATTATAATTATTATATTCAGCCCAAGGGCACAACTGCCACTTTGGCCGCAATAAATATATTTTCTTTCTTTGGGGGGGGGGGGGGGGGGGGTTAACCCCCCTGCCCGAAGAACAACTCTGGGAAAACAACACATCAACAGTGGTAGAGAGAGGTTTCGTGGATGAAACTCACCGTCTGTCTCTCTGTCTTGGTTATGATCTCGCTACCCCCCTCTGTGCCCCGCAGCACATTGATGAAGTCTTTCTTGGAGACAGAGGAGAGGAGCTTGGCTTTCTTCCTCTCCGAGCCACCCGCCTCCTTCACCTTCTCATCCACCGTTTTCTGGTGCTTCCTCACGGCGTTGAACAGCTGTACTACCCCCCTGTGGAGTGGAGAGGTACACACAATACACTGTTATTCTGGTAGAATTTAAAGTCAATTCACTTTAAGATTAATTGTGATATTTTGTGAAGCTTATATTTAGCATAAATCATATACGCATGGGATTTTTTCCTGATGTAATCATTTTGTTATCCCGATCCTCATCTGGCAGGCACTGTATCATTAAGAGATATACAGTGCCTTCAGAAAGTATTCATACCCCTTGAATTCCACATTTTGTTGTGTTACAGCCTGAACTAAAAATTGATTAAATAGTTTCCCTCTCACCCATCTACCCACAAAACCCCATAATAACAACGTGAAAACATGTTCAGAAATATTTGCTAATGTATTGAAAATGAAATAACTAATTTACATAAATAGTGACATCGCTAAATCAATATATGTTAGAATCACCATTGGCAGCGATTACAGCTGTGAGTCTTTCTGGGTAAGTCTCTAAGAGCTTTGCATACCTCAACTGTACAATATTTGCACATTATTTTTTTCAAAATTCTTCAAGCTCTGTCAAATTGGTTGTTGATCACTGCTAGACAACCATTTTTAGGTCTTGCCATAGTTTTGACTTAAATCTGCTTGAAAATCTAACTCGGCCACTCAGGAACATTCACTGTCTTCTTGGTAAGCAGCTACAGTGTATATTTGGCCTTGTGTTTTAGTTTATTGTGCTGCTGAAAGGTGAATTCATCTCCCAGTGTCTGGCGGAAAGCAGACTGAACCAGGTTTTTCTCTAGGACTTTGCCTGTGCTTAGCGCCATTCATGTTTAGTTTTTCATCCTGAAAAACTCCCCAGTCCTTAACGATTACAAGCATACCCATAACAGCCACCACTATGGTTGACAATATGGCGTGTGGTACTCACTTTGTATTCAGGACAAAAAGTTAATTGCTTTGCCACATTTTTTGAAGTATTACTTTAGTGTGTTGTTGCAAACAGGATGCATGTTTAGGAATATTTGTATTATGTACAGGCTTCCTTCTTTTCACTCTGTCAATTAGGTTAGTATTGTGGAGTAGCTACAACGTTGTTGATCCAGCCTCAGTTTTCTCCAATCACAGCCATTAAACTCTGTTTTAAAGTCACCATTGGTCTCATGGTGAAATCCCTGAGCGGTTTCCTTCCTCTCCTGCAACTGAGTTAGGAAGGGCACCTGTATCTTTGTAGTGACTTGGTGTATTGATACACCATCCAAAGGTATATTCAATGTCTGCTTAAAAAAAATATATGTTTTATCTACCAATAGGTGCCCTTCTTTGCGAGGCATTGGAAAACCTCCCTGGTCTTTGTGGTTGAATCGGTGTTTGAAATTCACTGCTCGACTGAGGGACCTTATAGATAATTGTATATGTGTGGTACAGAGATGAGGTAGTCATTCAAAAATCATGTTAAACACTATTATTGCACACACAGTGAGTCCATGCAACTTATCATGCGACTCGTTACGCACATTTTCCCTCCTAAATGTATTTTGGCTTACCATAACAAAGGGGTTGAATACAGTGCATTCGGAAAGTATTCAGACCCCTTGACTTTTTCCACATTTTGTTATGTTACAGCCATATTCTAAAATGGATTAAATAAATAAAAATTCCTCATCAATCTAAACACAATACCCCATAATGACAAAGTGAAAACAGAAATACCTTATTTACATAAGTATTCAGACCCATTGCTATAAGACTCGAAATTGAGCTCAGTTGCACCCTGTTTCCATTGATCATCCTTGAGATGTTTCTACAAATTGATTGGAGTCCACCTGTGCTAAATTCAATTGATTGGACATGATTTGGAAAGGCACATACCTGTCTATATGAGGTCCCACAGTTGACAGTGCACGTCAGAGCAAAAACCAAGCCATGAGGTCAAAGGAATTGTCCGTAGAGCTCCGAGACAGGATTATGTAGAGGCACAGATCTGGGGAAGGGTACCAAAACATTTCTGTAGCATTGAAGGTCCCCAAGAACACAGTGGCCGCCATCATTCTTAAATGGAAGAAGTTTGGAACCACCAAGTCTCTTCCTAGAGCTGACCGCCTGGCCAAACTGAGCAATCGGGGGAGAAGGGCCTTGGTCACTCTGACAGAGCTCAAGAGTTCCTCTGTGGAGATGGGAGAGCCTTCCAGAAGGACAATCATCAGGCCTTTATGGTAGAGTGGCTAGACGGATGTGATTCCTCAGTAAAACGCACGACAGCCCGCTTGGAGTTTGCCAAAAGGCGCCTAAAGAACTCTCAGACTATAAGAAACAAGATTCTCTGTTCTGATGAAACCAAGATCGAACTCTTTGGCCTGAATGCCAAGCATCACGTCTGGAGAAAACCTGGCACCATCCCTACGGTGAAGCATGGTGGTGGCAGCATAATGCTGTGAGAATGTTTTTCAGCGGCAGGGACTTGAGAGACTAGTCAGGATCGAGGGAAAGATGAGCGGAGCAAAGTACAGAGAGATCCTTGATGAAAACCTGCTCCAGAGTGCTCAGGACCTCAGACTGGGGGCGAAGGTTCATCGACCCTAAGCACACAGCCAAGACAACGCAGGAGTGGCTTCGGGACAAGTCTCTGAATGTCCTTGAGTGGCCCAGCCAGAGCTTGGACTTGAACCTGATCTAACATATCTGGAGAGACCAGAAAATAGCTGTGCAGCGACGCTCCCCATCCAACTTGACAGAGCTCGAGAGGATCTGCAGAAAATAATGGGAGAAACTCCACAAATACAGGTGTGCCAAGCTTGTAGCGTCATAACCAATTAGACTCGAGGCTGTAATCGCTGCCAAAGGTGCTTCAACAAAGTACTGAATAAAGGGTCTGAATACTTATGTAAATAAGGTATTTATGTATTTTATTTTGTCAAAAAAGTCAAGGGGTCTGAATACTTTCAAACGCACTGTACTTATTGATTCAAGACATTTCAGCTTTTCATTTTTTATTAATTTGTAACAATTTCTAAAAACATAATTCCACTGACATTATGGGGTATTGTGTGTAGGCCAGTGACCAAAAATCTCAATTTAAACCATTTTAAATTCAGGCTTTAACACAACAAAATGTGGAAAAAGTCAAGGGGTGTGAATACTTTCTGAACGCACTGTAGGTTTGTAAGCTGCACACAAGTGTGTATGTACCTGGTAGCAACTCTCTGCAGGTTCTTCTCATTCTCTCGGTCTTTTACAACGTCTGGTTTCTCTCGACACATCATCTCCCAAGCTCGCTTTTTATCAGTCTGTCGGTTTAAGGCAATTTCTGTTATCAGGCTATGATCTATCCGATTTCAATAATTAGTATCAGTTTAATGGCTGTTTTGATTAAAGCGAGAAATTGACATACAGGTACATGCACAAACAAACAAGTAGGACTATGCATGCACACACACATTTACAGTCATGAAAAAATACACAGTACCTGTTTCTTCCTCTCCAGATACTCCTTCTTCTCCTTCTCCTTCATCTTGTCCAGCTGTTTGTTCTTCAGCAGGATGCTGTGTTTGCTCTCTGGTGTTTTCTTCTGCAGAATCTTGGCCATGGCCTCCGCCCATCCAGCATTGGGGTTGGTGTCTACATCATCTACTTCCTTGTTGCCTTCACCCTCCTCTTTCTCTCCTTCGCTTCCTCCATCCTCAGCCTGTTCCCCATCACTCTCTCCATCCTCCTCTTCTCCATCATCGCTCCCTCCATCCTCTGACCCATCTCCATCACTCCCTCTGTCAGAATCATCACTCTCAGCGTTGTGGTCCTCCTGGGGCTCAGAATCTTCTTCTGATGTGTGAAAATAAGGCATTATACAAATGCAAATACTAGGTAGGCCTAATCGGTTGCAAATTCAAAACAATTTAGCTCTGCCACTTCAGATCTAGCTTAACCTAACCGACAGTTTACACCCTTTAATGTTATCATTATTCAGGCGTCTCTATAAACACTAGCTACAATCTAAGGCTGGGCATTAACTATTGATTCGATCAAATGCGTGGCTTACACAGACAGCTTGCTAGCCAGCTATCTAAGTTAGCTCCCTATGCTAGCCAAGTTACGTCACATAGGCTAGCGAATGTTAATGTCATTTGACATTTCAAATGCAGAGTACAGACGACTAAAAGCAAGTATTGTAGCTAGCTAGTTGATCTGGCTACTTTAAACCACGTATGGTTTAATGTAAATGTAACTTTTCAGATACCTACGTTAGCTATCTAGCCAACTATACCTAACGTACAGCCATAGACTATATGATCATGCTAGAGTGGCAATGCTATTGCTAGCCTAGCTACCAGCTTGAGTCCAGTCTGTTGAGTCTAGGAGAGACCAGCGATATAAGGTTAATCATCTAGCTAGCTGGCTACTTCTTTTGAACAATTCTAAGAAAAACAATTAAAGATGACACAGTAAATGTTTACGCTTACCTAATATCTCTGCTGAGTTCTCCACATGTGCCTTTTCCACAGCTGCCATTATTGTGCAGCACTGAAACCGTTCCGTGATGTTTAGTTCCGTGTAAAATGTTCCCACTTGACTGTAGTCCAAAGGCCGGCAGATGGCGATATTGAGTCGTTTCATCTTACCGTCCAAAGGGAACCCATGTAGACAGATTACACTTGTATCCCCCGTGGACTGGTTCATACATAAAATATTCTCCATTCAGGCTACAAAGGCGTCGATTTCCTCCTTAATTCGATTAAATGGCGAGAAGGTGGGGAAAAAATGGGAAAATATACGTACTTTCTTTATGAAACACAATTTTCCACCACCATGCTAGTGGCTAATGCCTAGGAATGCTAGATACGGATGTTGCGTAATGCGCTCAGCGATTTAGTCTGGTCCGGACCGACAAAATTTGGTCTTGTTTGGGGCTGGAGCTCATTAGAAAAATACCCAGAGTGTTTTGCAAGTGTTAATTTTTACATATACATTTTGGTCATTTAACAGACGCTTTTATTCAGAGCGATTTACAGTCAGTGCATTAAACTAAAGTGCTATAGCTAGCCTACCTACCAGCTTGAGTCCAGTCTGTTGAGTCTGGGAGAGACCAGCGATACAAGGTTAATCATCTAGCTAGCTAGCTGGCTACTTCTTTTGAACAATTCTAAGAAAAGCAATTAAAGTTTACACAGTAAAAGTTAGGCTTACCTAATATCTCTGCTGAATTCTCCACATGTGCCTTTTCAGCTGCCATTATTGTACAGCGCTGAAACCATTCCGTGAATAAAGTTCCCTTCCGTGATGTTTAGTTCTGTGTAAAAAGTTCCCACTTGACTGTAACCCAAAGGCTGGCAGATGGCGACATTGAGTCGTTTCATCTTACCTTCCAAAGGGAATTCATGCAGCCAGCTATACACATAAAACATTCTCCATTCAGGCTACAAAGTCGTCAATTTCCCCCTTAACTCGATTTAATTGCGAGAAGACAGAAAAAATGTGGGAAAATATACGTACATTCTTTATGAAACACCATTTTCCACCACTATGCTAGTAGCTAATGCCTAGGAATGCCTAGGATGTTGCGTATTGCGTTCAGCCATTCAGGTTGCAGCAGTCTGTTGTTTACCCATGGCTGAACGAGGGGTGCAACATCAGGAAGTAGCATTAGCCACTCTAGCATGTTGGTGAAAATGGTGTTTCATAAAGAAAGTATGCAGCCTGAATGGAGAATGTTTTATGTACGAACCGGTCCACGGGGGATACGGGTGTACACCAGGCTGCATGCATACCTCAATATCGCCATCTGCCGACCTTTGGGCTAACTTGACTGAAGATTATTATGAGCTAACTTGACTGAGGTTCTGCCTTCCGACTCCGTGACATTTGTACTACACAAAAAACACTGCCTGCATGCCAACCTGAGGGTCCTTTACTGTTCCAAACACACACACACACACACACGCACACACAATTCTGTCAAGTATATTGCGCAAATATTGCACAATCCAGATGTGCACAGCTCTTTGGGATTTACTCAAAAAGACTCACAGTTATAATCGCTGCTAAAGGTGTTTCTAACATGTATTGACTCATGGGGTGAATATTGATCTAATCCAGATGTAGTATTGTTTTATCTTTTTATGAATTTTAATATTAGAAAAACATTTCCAGTTTGAAATGTTTCCACTTGGAGTATTTTGTGTAGATCATGATAAAAATCTAAATTAAATACATTTGAATCCACTTTGTAACACAATGAAATGTGAAAAAGTCCAAGGGGGTTAATACCTATAGGCACTGTAGGCTAGTAACGTAAACATATATTATGTTTGTACTTTCTTAAACCGGTGGACTCTGTGAATATGTGAGAATATATATATAGATAACTATAACCATCGACGTTGTTTGGTTCAGATTTGGTCCGGTTCGGACCAAATCAAGCCCGGTCCGGACCAGACCAAATCTGAATCAAACAACGTCTGTGGTTCTAGTTATCTATACATATTCTCACATAGCCCGACAAAATGTGGTCTTGTTTAGGGCCGGAGCTACTGTACCATTGACTAACAACCCAATCATGGCCTGTACCTTGACGTGGTGAGAGGGCTTTAAACCAAGACAGGCCATTCACTTATCATTACCTTAGAAGGCTCAGATAACCATCTGTGTGTGCGCGCCCTTTCTCTCTCCCTTCTGCAGGACTTTTATGGATCCAGGTGCGACTTTCGTGACTGTCACACCGACTGTGAATTGAACTATGAACATTAAACTATTAATGCTGTTCCAGTGTTCCTGTGTGCCACTGGGTGTGCTGTTAGACGCACTTCTTTATTGGCGTGAGTGTAATTTACAGTTTGTGTTCACATGCCACTTACCTGAGGTCCTCCTGTGTGTTTCAGTCTCTAAGCAACGATGCCGCCGCTGCTGATTCCTTGCCTCTCTACCAGAGAACTACCTGGCTGACTACAGTGGAGCTGCAGGCCAATGACGTCACCAGGCGATGTTCCCACACCTCAGCTGAGCAGAGGATCCAATATGACAAACCATGCAGCAGATCCTCAATGGTACAGTAGTACAGCATCTTGGTTAAATACAAATATTCAATTTTATATTCTACTCTCTACATTTGGATCGACAATGGTGCTTGTGTGCATCTAAAACATTTTATGAGCTTTGATGAGAGGCATAACCATATGGATTTAGAAGTATAACACAGAAACTATTGATAATGCTATCCATAAATCGTACATACTATTTTCTGAAAGTAATATGCCATTTAGCAGACGCTTTTATCCAAAGCGACTTACAGTCATGCGTGCATACATTTTTGTGTGTGTATGGGTGGTCCCGGGGATCGAACCCACTACCTTGGCGTTACAAGCGCCGTGCTCTACCAGCTGAGCTACAGAGGACCACAAGTTATTTTAAAACTGTTGATGGTCCCTTTCCTACATAATAATCCAACTCGTAACTCTGAATTGGACTACCGGTTTCTTTCAAAACACCCACACTGTGATAAAAGTGACCTTGAGAAAAGCCTAGATATGGAACAGCTTGGATGTCATCAGTCTTTGGGCAAGTCATGATGTGGTTAAATCTCTTGCTCCTTTCCTCTCTGTCACTCCTTCCCTCTGTCTCTCCTGCCCTCTCCTCTATCACTTCTCGCCTCCTCGTATCTCCTCTACAGCACGTGGACATTGCGGCCTTCCTGATCAAGTTCTAATGAAGTGGTCAGTATTCTCTGATGATTCTCAACATAAGCAAGAGAGCTCTCATATGTTTTTTGCTCATAATGGTAGATGTGGATGTATGCATGTGTTATACAGTATCTTTCTAGTTGCACAACTAAGTGTCTTACTTACAATGACGTAGTCTGCTCACTATAATCCCCATCCAGTATATTTTTACATGCATGCCCTTATCACCCAGTAACTCCTCTTCCTCCTTCAGGCTGATGATATCCACGCCCTGTTGATGGACACTATGCCCCAAGACGCAGAGACCGGAGGGGACAACAGCCATTCTTTAATATCTGCTCATAATTACTGAACAAAAATATAAATGCAACATGTAAAGTGTTGGTCCCATATTTCATGAGCTGAATTAAAAGATCCCAGAAATGTTCCATACGCACAAAAACCTTCTTTCTCTCAAATGTTGTGCAGAAATGTGTTTACATCCCTGTTAGTGAGCATTTCTGATAATCCATCCACCTGACAGGTGTGGCATATCAAGAAGCTGATTAAACAGCATGATCATTACACAGGTGCACCTTGTGCTGGGGACAATAAAAGGCCACTCTAAAATGTGCCGTTTTGTCACACAACACGATGCCACAGATGTCTCAAGTTTTGAGGGAGCATGCAATTGGCATGCTGACTGCAGGAATGTCCACCAGAGTTGTTGCCAGAGAATTTAATGTTAATTTCTCTACCATAAGCCGTCTCCAACATTGTTTTAGAGAATTTGGCAGTACGTCCAACCGGGCTCACAACCGCAGAGCACGTGTAACCACGCCAGCCCAGGACCTCCACATCCGGCTTCTTCACCTGCGGGATCGTCTGAGACCAGCCACCCGGACAGCTGATGAAACTGAGGAGTATTTCTGTCTGTAATAAAGCCCTTTTGTGGGATTGGTTGGGCCTGGCTCCGCAGAGGGTGGGCCTGGCTCCCAAGTTGGTTGGCCTATGCCCTCCCAGGCCCACCCATGGATATTCCCCTGCCCAGTCATTAGGGCCTAATGAATTTATTTAAATTGACTGATATCATTATATGAACTGTTTCTCAGTAAAATCGTTGAAATTGTTGCATGTTGCATTTATATTTTTGGTCATATTTATAGTTATCAGTTATTACCAGGGACGCAACTTTGGTTTAAGAAGTGGGGGGGACAACCCTTGTCTTTTTCCACATTTCGTTGTGTTACAGCCTGAATTTAAAATGAATTAAATTACGATTGTTTGTCACTGGCTTACACACAATATCCCATAATGTCAAAGTTGAATTATGTATTTATAAATGTTTACAAATAAATAAAAAATGTCTTGAGTCTATAAGTATTCAAATCCTTTGTTATGACAAGTCTAACGTTCAGGAGTAAACATTTGCTTAACAAGTCACATAATAAGTTGCATGGACTCACTCTATGTGCAATAATAGTGTTTAACATGATTTGTTAATGATTACTTCATCTCTGTACCCCACACATACAATTATCTGTAAGTTCCTTCAGTCGAGCAGTGAATTTCAAACACAGATTCAACCACAAAGACCAAAGACCTCACAAAGAAGGGCACCTATTCGTAGATAGGTAAAAAATAAAAATAAAAATAAAAGCAGACATTGAATATCCCTTTGAGCATGGTGAAGTTATTAATTACACATTGGATGGTGTATCAATACACCCAGTCACTACAAAGATACAGGCGTCCTTCCTAACTCAGTTGACAGAGAGGAAGGATACCGCTCAGGGGCCAATGGTGACTTCATAACACTTATATTGTTTAATAGCTGTGATATTAGAAAACGAAGGATTACATTGGAACATTGTAATTACT